AATACTGCACTGGATGCGAGCGGCACAGGACCGGGCATTGTGGCAATCGATGGGCCTACGTCCAGCAGTGGACAAGTTTAGGCTGAATGTGATGATGATGAACTTTTAATATTTTTAATCTTAAATGTAATTCTACAAAATCTACAAATAGAATTTACTTAATTAATTTAAAAAAAATGTTTTTTTTGCTACAGGAATATCCATAAACAACATCGATCATGGTTACCGTAGGGAGGCGTACTTTAGGGCGTAGGGCTGTCACGTACGAAATTAATTATTTTTTCCCTCATCACTCGTTAAGGAAAGGAAATTTGTGGTCTTATTACGTCACCGCTTAACGTAAACAGATGGGATTTTTTCTTACACGTTATTAAATACACGTATTTTTACTTCGCGAAATCAATTTTTCATAATAAACGAACAATTTTGATTAAACCAATAATAATATCTTATTTTCTAGAAATATTGCCTCGAAAAGGATAATTTAAAAAAAAAATAAACTTTTTTTTATTGTGCTCTTATAATATTAATGTGTATTCTTTGTTTAAAATAAAAGGTATTGTTTATGGCCAGTGTGTTGCGTTCCATTTTCAAAATTACGAAAAAAAAGAGGTTGGTAGAGTTTCGTTTACAATTGTTCTGTATGTAAATAAATGCAAATGGAAAACTTTCTAGTGCATTTTTATGTACTTATTTAAAATTCGTATAGCTTATTATAAAGGAGCATGTTCATTGGAGAATTAAAAATAGATTTTTTTTAATTTCATAACTCAAGTACACAGAATTTAATGGCAATTTGAGATATTAAATGGTTGCCATGGAAACCTTAGCATGTATTAAGCATGTAAATTCTACACTACTTAAGGTACAGAAAATACTATGAGCGGATGTAAGATAAAGTCAGCACAAAACGAGTCTGGATGTGGCAATTAATGAAATAATCCTGACTGACTATAATCATACCTTTAACCGTGAGTTTCTAAATCCAATATCTCCGTTTAAAATGAATTGTTATCTCTGTGTTAAAGATATGTTTTAATAAGATTTCATTGTCAGAAACCAACGGTAAGAGAAATAAGCTGACACTTGAAAATCGGTCATGTTTACGTTGAAGCGTATTCGTATGTCTTTTATAATATTGTAAATAGTGAGTGGACAGGCGTGCCGGCCAGTAATCAGAATTAGTTACGCATTGCATTACTGAAAAAATGCTAATTACACAGAGTTATTTAAGCACACAAACCTGGGTGGTACGATTGTAAAAGAATAAATACAGATTCTTTAGGATATTTTTTTTTTAATTTCAGCTTTTATTCAATGTCTTCTTAGCAACCAATATAGTTTAAAAATTATACAGTGCCAGGAATAATTCATCTTTTAATAATAAAAATATATTGAGTATTAATTAATTGTAAATTGATTTAGACATCACATTTTACGAATTCACTTACTAAATAGAGTAAGTAAGAGACAAACTGGCAACTAAGAGTTCGTTCAGACAGACCGGGGCGAAGAGTAGAGCAGATATTTTTTTAAAAATAAAATTGAGCTTTATACGATTGTAACAAGGTTTAATTTTACTTTTCACGTCTTAAGAAGACGTTTGAAGTTAAAAAGTAAAATTAAAAATTGTTCCAAACTTATATTAAGTTAATTTTATTTGCTATAAAAATCTGCCCCACTCTCCGCTCCGGTCTGTGTAAACGGATCTTAACATTGAACGTTTGCTGGTAATTTTTTCCAACTAACTGGAACATATAGGAACACTTTGTTTCAGTTTTACGACACATAAATAAGTATTACGTGGATCTCTGAGGCGTTTATACTACTCAAACAGGCTTAAGTTTCGCACGAGGGCAGAACAGTCAGTCAGCAGTAGACAGTGTAATCTAGCTAAAGTTACAACGTACACTTACTGTAAAAACAATAGTGTGCTTTTTAGGTACTGAATTTTTTACTGCTCTGGGACACTACCCCCGTGTGAAATAACGTGGTAAATGGTGTTAGATTTTCTCTTAATACAAACGTATCTTCTTATATAAAATACAGATACAAGTAATTTTAATGCTAAGATATAGTCAGAGGAAAAACCTGCAGTGTCTTTTGTTTTTTCTGACACAGAACACTATTAAAAATCTTACTAATATTATAAATTCGAAAGTTTAGATTTATAAATGTTTGTTTGCTTGTAGGTATCTCCAGAACGGGTAAACGGATAGCGATGAAATTTGACATAGACATAGAACATAGCCTGGATGAACACATAGGCTACTAATTAAGTCCTTTTTAATTCTATACGAACGAAGTCGCAGTCGACAGCTAGTATGCAATAAATTAGAAATAGCGTCAAACAAATTAGGCTGTGATCAGATTCTCTGAGGGAGAAACGTTATATAAATCAAGTTAAATTACGAAGAGTTTATTTCCTTTAATTTTATTGCCTATAAATCTTTTGAACGAACGTGATAAATCGACAATAAAACATGATAACTACCTTTTATTCGTTAATTCATCATCATCATCAGCTCACTATACGTCCCCACCGAGGGGCTCGGAGCCTACCCTAAGTTAAGGGTGATTAGGCCATAGTCAACCACGCTAGCCTAGTGCGGGTTGGTTGACTTCACACATATATTTGAATTTCTTCTCAGATATGTGCAGGTTGCATCACGATGTTTTCCTTCACCGTAAGAACCTCAAACACATTGTTAAATGACGGGATTTGAACCAAGGTTGGACATTTAACAATGTGTTTTTTGATTTACGATTTACATATGTACATTTATCCGACGTTCTTACGGTGAAGGAAAACATCGTGGTGCTTCACATATCTGAGAAGAAATACAAAGATATGTGTGAAGTCCGCACTTGGCCAGCGTGGATGACTATGACCTAGTCACCTCTAACTTAGAGTAGGCTCCGAGCACTTCATTGGGGACCTATAGCGAGCTGATGATGATTGTCAGTACTATACATTTTTGAAATTGGTTATGGAAAGGCTTCGGAGCGAATGCACTTTATGTAGCCCCGCAGATTTGAATACAATAACAACTAAAATAACCTTCCTATTAATCAGATTTTTAGCTGACATTTTTCTAGGCAAATAACTTGAATATACATTAACTTATTCATGATCTGGCAAACATCCAGCCGTTGACATAACATTGTTAATGGTGATGATAAAGTTTGAGAATCGATGACATTCTGATCTGAATATGATTGATTATAAAGCCGTTGATACAAATCCATCATATTACAAAAGAAATTACGATACGATAATATTTTTGTAACTTTATAAATATGTAGGTGTTTTCCATAAAAATCATGATATCTTAGGAACGACTGAACAGACCTCGCTAAAATTTGGCATAAATAGACTAGAAGAACACATAGGCTATATATTTTTTAAATCCACGCGGGCGGAGTCTCGGTGGACAACTATTTTTATATAATATAACTAGCGGACCCGACCGACGTTGTCCTGTCTACACGTTTTTAATTTGAATAAATTAATATGAAGTTAATATTTGATGAAAATTGTGAATCTAAACCATTCCCAGATCCCCTTGAACACACACAAAAAATTTCATCAAAATCAGTCCAGTCGTTTGAGAGAAGTTCAATGACATACACACTCACAGAAGAATTATATATATAAAGATATAGACTCTTCTTTACTCAATTAAAAAGTAAGAGATTGTATAACTGGTTATTTTCAATTAGATTCAAAATTCGAACACATGAAAAAACAATTGCTTCCATATTTGAAAAATAAACCTCAGTGAAAAGTAGATTATTTTTTAGAAGATTATTTTTAATATGATTCGTAAAATCAAAGAATAATTAGCTGTCACTGGCGATTCCATTCGCGCGAAAAAAAAAACTTATTTAGTAGTCTATGTGTTCTTCCAGACTATGTTCTATATGTCATGACGAATTTCATCAAGACCAATTCAGCCGTTCTGGAGATACCTACTAACATACATCCAATCATTTGCTGTATAATATTAGTAAGATTATATGCAAGACTTTATGAAGAGTGAAATACATCAAATAATTTATACCTGGCAGTCAAATAATTATAATTTTTTTCCTTTGAAATCACTTTGTATTTATCATATTAAAACCACATTTAATATTAGTCTAAATATCAAGGTCAAACTGACCTTAAAAATCATATCCAATTACTAAAACATTACAAACAAATTAACCTACAAATCTAAATTGAATATATTTAAACGGTTGCAATAAGTTAATTTCTCACGCCTTAAAATATACTTCAAATGATGACCAAAATTTTAATATACGTAATTTATTTTATGTATTCATGACACACTGTATACAAGTGTGTGTATAACAGTACGGGAATGACACTGATTATATCATTAACGTGGGCAGCACTCGAGCGAAAGGAAATGCATAATTTTCAAGGGAAATGAACACGGGACCGCCGCGGGACAAATGATAGAGTTCCGCTATTTGGACAGAAAACTACATACAAATATATATACGAGCAAGCGGCCATCTAATTTCATAAACCGTCTTAGTGACCGCTGCTTAAAAACAAACAGATGCGTTGCCTACCTTTAATCGACATAGGAACGTCTCCTATGCACAGAAAAATATTTCCCCTTCCTATGCGTCACTTCTTCCATCAAATCCACTTCCCATTTGTAATAATTTTTTATTCTATAGTTTATTATAGCGACGTATCAATTTTCAGTACCTATTTTTATGTACAGTGAAGGTAAATGGCGGTGAATTAAAGTCACAATAGTTTGATCGCTTTCAAACTATAAAACGTAATTTATAACAGTATCGTATTGTATAATAGTTAGGGGTAAAGTATAGATAACCCATATTTGTTTAAAACATTGATAGCAAGATAATTTTTTAGTTGTAAACTGGTTGATGGCAGGGTGCAAGGCAATTTTCTGCAACTGGAATACCGCGAATTGCGTTGACTGTACACATAGAATTATATGTTAATTTTGACTCACCTATTTTTGTTTTTATATCTAAACATTGCGATATGTGTGGGAACTGGAGGATCTTGCGCCACTTCTTGCTCTTGCCCTTGTTGCTATCGGAACCGCCTGCGGACAAACAGACAGACATGTATAAATTATAGAGTAGTAACAAACATTAAAAAAAATTGAAAATCGATCCTGAAACCAATTAATAAACTGTTCATAAAATTACTAATTTCTGAGACCAAAAACTTTGATCATATTTTGTCATAATAATGACGATGATCTTAGAAACCTACAGTTTAATGACAATGGTAAAATGTCTATCTCCTTTAAGTTCTTTCTACTACAACACATATAAAATAAACCTTTTTAAACGTTAACAAAACCTATGGATCGAAACACAACACTTCAAAAAGTCAATACTGACTTGAAACGCATATCGTACGGCTGGTTTCATTTTTATCGGATTGAAACACTTCGGTCCGTGTATATCAAACGTCTACCAATCTACACCCAATGCTTACACCTAAAGCCAACTATCGAACCAGTCCGTGTATGTTAACCCTTATGAACTCGACCCATTTTTAACGCGTCCAATGGACTGTAGAATCGATCAGTCGAGTTGTGTTTTTATTACATACGACACTATCGCTGTTCGAAGAAAGAACGGATTTGAGACTCTTACGTCATATATAGGAGACTAGTTGTCGCTTGCGACTCCGTTCGCGCGGATATAAAAAACTTAAAGTAGCCTATATGGTTTGCTAGACTATTTTCTACGATCCGTTGAGCCGTTTTAGAAATATCCAACAAACATCCATCCATCTAAATTTTCGCATTTACAACGCACAAGATTACTGTTGGATAGTTTAAAACCCGCTTCATCTTTATATGTAAAACAATTAAAGGTTTAAAAAGATAAAATTTAAATTTAATAAGATTTCTTCAGCGTTTTCTTTTAAACTAATTAAAAAAGACGATATAAATCGACAATCGAGTTTCTGTAGTAACTCGATTGTTCGATTCTCGAAGATTCAATCGAATATAAAGCCTACTAAAAGTTCCGATAGTTAAAATAAACTCGAATCAATTTCGTCAAAATCTCGTCTAAATCGAGCCAAATAGATAAGGGGTATTGGATTACAATAGCTTCGGGTAAATCCTAATGTACAACGAAAGCGAACAGAAAGCGAAGCTAAAATAAATGAGAATCAAACAAAAAAACGGACTAATTTTATCTATATTATATTTAAGACTTTAGTGACAGTTGTTTTAACGCATAGTGTTGTTTTTTTTAACGAGAATATGAAGGATGAAAATACATCTTACTTCTTACTAATATTATAATTGCGAATGTTTAGATGGATGGATGGATGGAAATTTGTTAGAAAGTATCTCCGGAACGGTTCAACGGATCTTCATAAATTTGACACAGATGTAGAACATAGTCTGGAAGAATACATAGACTACTTATTATTATTTTTTTAAATCCGCGCGGACGGAGTCGCAGGTCACAGCTAGTATCATAATTGTCCTTGCAATCCAAATTCATTATAAGAAGAAAATTTGTTTTAGTTAGCATTGGCGAATGTGTGTAACAGGCATAAGGTCCCAGACGACAGATATGTGGTACAGTACATTTTATGTGCCAGAATTAGGGATGGCACTACGCACGAATGGTCACGTAGGGTCGACCCGTATCGTAACGACTAAGGCCGCCTACATACGGATCTTCAAGACAAAAAGGCGACAATTATTAAGACATTACAAAGGTCAGATAAACTGATTAAGTAATTAAAGTAATTGGAATGCTAGTTGACGCCCGCGGCTCAGTCCGCACGAGATTGAAAAAAACTTAATAGTCTATTTTATTAAGATCCCTTGACTCGTTCCAGAGATATCTTGTAACAAAAATCCTTCTGAACATTCGCATTTATAATATTATTAAGATTGCTTATAATAAATTAATATTGTAATTTATATAGATTAAGATAAACTAAGTTAGTCGTAAATCTAAAATCAACTAACTTCAATTGCCGACTTTGAAGAAAGCTCGAGGGCTTTAAAGATGACTTGAACACCAACACAATATCTTACAATTGTGGTATAAATATTCATGAGTTACTCCAAAATTAATGAATATTTGAAAATTTATCGTTCAGAAACTTAATTCTAATATTACGTTCATGGAATTATAATTTAATAAATTTATTTATATCCATGATAACATACATACATACAAACACAGTAAATTACTCAAGATTCTTGTTTCATTTCAAAATACCTAACTTATATACTAATATTATAAATACGAATGTATGGATGGATGTTTGTTTGGAGGTATCTCCGGAAAGGCTCAATGAATCTTTATCAAATTTAGAACCGATGTAGAACATAGTCTGGAAGAACACATAGTATGCTTATAACGTTGTTTTAATTCCGCGCGGACGGAGTCGCAGGCGACAGCTAGTGTTGATTAAATATTAATTATACTATTACTAAAGGTATTTATACACGTTTTCATAAGTTACTTTTACAATAAAAATATTTATTAAAACCATCCGTGTGTAGGAAGACTAAACTCAAGATCAGTAGCGAACGAACGGTTATCAGTTTCGGCATTTCGACACACATCAAAGGAATGCTCCAGTTTGACTTCGCTCGATTGATTAGAACCCTACTGTGTACATGAATTACTATGATATATTGTAAATAGCATTGAACATAATTAGTGTTTTTAAACATTGGGATTTTTTTATATAACAGAAGGAGGCAAACGAGCAGCGGGAACACCGAGGTGTTCAACGACGTCTATGGACATCAGCAATAACAGAGGAACCGCAGATGCGTTGCCGGCCTTTAAGAAAATGGTATGCTCGCTTCTTGAAGGCCTCTAAGTCGTACTGGTTTGGAAATACCGCCGAGGACAGACCGTTCCATAACGCGGCTGTGTGAGGCAAATTGTGTGAGAATCGCACCGTTGTGGAATGCCAGAACTTTGAACCTGATACTGAGTAAATTTAACCACTGTACCATTGTGTGTAACTCAATCACAGCGCGCGATTTATCGGTCCACTTGTTTGTAAACCTCAGAATGAACGACGATAAAAGTGTTTTATTGATGTTTTGTCTAACAACATGGTAATTTTAAAAGCGATTTTAGGAGCGAAATGTTACATATTTTATCCTATTTTTTTTAATTAAGAGGCAAAGGCCTAGTGACGTGTAAGTTTAGAACAATGCTGTCATAAATTTTACTAATATTATAAATGTGAAAGTTTAGATGCATGGATGGATGTTTGTTAGAAGATATCTCCGGAACGGCTGTATGGATTTCGCTGAAATTTGACATAGATGTAGAACATTGTCTGGAAGAACACATAGATGTTTTTTTAATTCTGTACAAACGGAGTCTCTGGCGACAGCTGTTCGAGTGCAAATGTTGAGATGAATTTACTAATCATTTATTTTTAACTTCATATTTTATAGCTTTGTTACTTTAATCATCAGAAAAGGACATCGTAATCATAAGCAACGTTTTACAAAATGACTGAACAAAAAAATTTTCACCTCCATCGATGTCATTTTTTTTTTCAAAAAGATTGAAAGTGATAGCATTATATTTCTATACATGTTTCAATAGTAAAAACTTATAATAAAACAGATTACAATAAAATATTTGTAACAAAACCCGTGTAATATATCAAAGAAATATCTCCAGCAATTCCCAGAAGTAATTTCTCTTCCCTTAATCTTGAAGTAAATATAATTAAGGCAACAACAAATCTAGTTAATTGGATTTGTTTAAACGTCGGTAATTAATTAGAAATAGAAGCCGTGAATATTAACGTATTACAAGATTTGATACTATTGACCTTTGATATTAATAATTTATATGTGTTTTACAATTACTAAATCCTACCCCTAATTATATAATACAGACAAGGTACAACTTATAACAAACTAACTGTCGCCTACGACTCCAACCGCACGGAATTTAAAAAAAAAACTTAATTAGCTGGCAGTGTTCTTCCAGAATATGTTCTACATCTATGACAAATTTCAGCGAGATCCATGCAGCAGTTTTGACAATACCTTGTAACAAACATCCATGCATCTAAACATTCGAATTTATAATAATAGTAAGACATTTTATTAAAAAAATAAGTTGGACTTCATATAGATGACTTCATATGTACTCCAAACAAGGCTAAGAATCAAAAATTATCTATGTCAAATATTAAAATATTACTATCGACATATCGATAATGCAAACTACACATCACTACATAACGATATTATGCAATGCACAGCATTACTGGCAATCAGCAACCTCTTTACTGCAACAAAGAGGTTGCATAAGACCCCAATAGGAGCGTTTATAGTCCGACAAACTTTTCTGACCCGGTGAGTGTCACTACGTTGTGCTCATTAGCACCGTCGTATTTCAAAGTGCCACAAAATCCTTGTCGAAATGGAGATGTGCCTTATGTTTTGTGTAATTTTTTTATAAGAGAAAGGGGCAAACGAGCGGCGGGAGCATCGAGGTGATCAAGGTCACCCAAGAACATCTGCGACACAAGAGGAACTGCAGATACGTTGCCGACCTTTGATGAAATGGTATATGAAGGACCCTAAGTCGTATTTTAACAGAACTGCGAAGCGTCTCTCATCGGGCCGGATAAATTTGTCATACTATAACCTCAAGAGACCTGGCTGATTTATAGCAACGATCAATTCTAAACCAAATGATTTATAACTCAAGTTATACGATCGGCTATTTGATAAGCAGCACATACCAATTTAATCGACTCGAGTTAAACAAAATACGAGAGTTTAGTAACTTTAGATATGTCAATTAGATAAGCAATCGGATATACGACTAATTTATCAAATCATATCCCGTTTACATTATTCCAGTCCAGCGAATTCAATGCTGGATTACAACTTTAATAATACATGCACACTGGACTATGTGGATTCAAGTGTAAGTTTAAATTTTTCCAATCGTAATTCTGCACTGTATCGATAGCTGGACTGGAATAATGTAAACTGGACATTAAAATTCCGAAAGTAGCACAGTCGTACTGCATACATTTGTATAGGGAATTATAATCTGCTTT